GCCAGCAGCACCCACGGACGAAGAACGGGCAGCTCATGAACTGCTGCACCTCACGAGAGCGCAGTGGTGCGAGGCCTGCGTGCGGGGGAACGAGACGACCAAGCCGCGCAAGACCCTCACGTTCGACCAGAAGGACACTGGGAAGGCGCTACCTGTAGACCAACGGCGACTGGACGGAGATCGGGGATGAGGAACCGCCAGCGGCGGACATCTTCGCGACGACGCTCGTGATGGCGGACAGGGACACGCTGATGTTCAATGCAGTCTCGATGCCCACCAAGGCGGTCACGGACTACGCAATAGCCAGCGTGAGCAGCTTCATTGAGGGCATGCATCTCACGACGGCGGACATCAAGACGGACGGCGGGCCCGCGATCGTGAACCTGGTGGAGGAGGCGCGGAAGAGGCTGAGCAAGAGCATCAAGCTAGAAGAGAAGCGTGGGAACCTGAAGGACAGCCAGAGCATGGGCGCGATTGAGGCTCCGATCAGATGGTTTCAGGCGAAGATGAGGACGTACAAATTCGACCTGGAGAAGCGCTATGGCATGAAGATCACAGCGGACGCACCGATCTGGTGTTGGCTTACACGGTACGTTAGCTGGGCTACGTCTACGTACCGACCACGAGCCGATGGGAGGACGTCCCATCAGGCAGCCTACGGAGTGACCTACAACGGAGAGATTCTCCCTTTTGGCGAGACGGCTCTCTTCAAGACCCCGATCTCCCACACGAGGCAGATCACGGCTACGTCCCTGAAGAACAAGGGCGAGTCGAGTTTCGTGAAGGGCATCTGGATCGGGAAGCACAAGGAGAGCGACGACCACTTGTTCTTGACGCCAGCGGGCTGGCACCGCGCAAGAACATGCAGGCGGCTGGAGCCAGCATTGCGGGCAGATGACAAGCTGATGAAAGCAGTGAAGGCCCTGCCCTGGGACGCGAGGAGCGCCAAGCCGTGCGAGCTACTGCCCAGGTTCCAGAGGCCGATGCCCGCGATCGTCTTGACGGCGGCGGAGCAGAAGGCGAAGACCGAGGCGCAGGAGGCAGCGCGCGAGGCGGCGCCACCCCAGGGGGCGCCCGAGCAGGGGGCGCAGCCGGCTGCAGCAGCGAGCGCGGGGCCATCGGCGGCGCCCGCGGGACCTGGAGCTGGGGCGGCAGCGGCAGCGAGGCCAGAGGAGAAGAGCACGACGGATGCGGATGCGCCGATGACACCTCGAGGTCTTGTCAGACCTGCCGACGCTGAAGACTTCGGCGCACCAGGCAAACGCGCGAAGCACGTGGACGCCATCTCGCTCGACGACCCTATCGACTACAGCATCCTGGACAGGATGGGCACGGACAGCTACATGACGGTCAGCGGGCTGGAGCCCGCGGTGGAGCTCAAGGGCAAGCGCGAGGCACTGGAAGTGCTGGCACACTACGGGGTGCACAGGGACGTCCCGAGGAGCGAGAGCGGTGAGTTCAAGAGGATCAGGGCGCGCTGGGAGCCGCAGATGCGAGGAGGTATCTGCAAGTGGCGGTATGTGGCGCAGGAGTTCAAGTGGATGGAGCGGCGTGACGACGTGTTCGCAGCGAGCTCATCGGCGCAGACGAGCAGGCTGGTGGACTTCGTCAGCATCAAAGAGGAGAACCACGGGACTTTCATCGCGGATTGCGTGAAGGCGCACTACCAAGCGGACCAGACTGAGAAGGTTTGTGTAGAGCCACCTGCTGAGTATCTGGCGATCTTGGCGGAGATGGGCAGACCGGCCGACATCGTTTGGGCGCTCAGCAAGATGCTACCTGGGCAGCGCGTGGCAGGCGCTGGCTGGGTGGACAGGGCGGCGAAGACCCTGAAGGGAGAGGGATTCGACAGGAGTGAGTGTCAGCCGCAGTTCTACTACCACAGAGAGAAGAAGATCCTGATCGAGGTGCACATGGACGACTTCCACGGGGAGGGTCCAATCAGCAGCCTGGAGGGGATCATCAAGCGGCTGCGGGAGGTGTTCGACCTGAAAGCGACGGATGTCATCAGGCAGGGACGCTACTCGCACCTGAAGCGGGACAGGCTGAGGCTCATGAACGGCAACATCATGCTGAGGCCGAACGTGAAGCACATCGACGACCTGATCTACGTAATGGGCATGGAGAAGGCCAAGCCGACGAGGGTACCAAGCTTGACTGAGGAGGACCCGACATGGAGTCCTGAATTGGACGAGATCGAGAGGGCGAAGTTTCGCACAGGAGTCGGGATCGCGCTCTACATCTCGCCCGGCAGAGCGGACATCCAGCGGGACGTGCGGCTGCTGACCAGGAACCTGAGTCAGCCGACGGAGTTTGACAGGAAGCGACTGGTGAAGCTGGTGAGGTACCTGAAGGGGACAAAGACGTATGGAGTGCTGATGGAAAAGCCAACTGGGAGCAAGCCTGGAGAAGTGAAGCTGCAGTTGTTCACAGACACGGACTTCGCGACGTGCAAGGAGACGAGGCGTGCGATGACCTGTGGGATCACAAAGCTGGACGGAGTGCATTTTGCAGCGTTCGCAAGGAGGCAAGGAGTTCAGAGCACATCCTCAGGTGAGGCGGAGTTCTACGGCGCGACCTCGGTGGTGATGGACGGCAAGCTGGTGAAGAACATGCTAGAGTGGTTGGGCTACAAGGTGACCTGGGAGCTCGGGATCGACAGCAGCGCCGCGAAGGCGATGATCAACCGCGAGGGCGTCGGAAAGGTGAAGCACCTGGACGTTCGGGCGCTGTGGATCCAGCAGGGGCGCAAGGTCCACGGACTGATCATCAAGAAGGAGAGTGGAACAAAGAACGTGGCCGACCTAGGGGCCAAGGCGCACGCCGCGGAGCGGTTCGAGCACCTGCGAGAACTTGCTGGCATCATGGACTGCAGCGAGATGGACAAGCATAAGGTGCTGGAGGCGTGCTCGGTGACAACGAGCGCCTGGGCTAAGCAAGGCTTGTTGGCGACACTGCTCGCGCAAGGAGTGACGGGCGGTGCGACCAAAGCGAGTGAATGCGCAGTGCGAGATCTCGACCAGGGTGCAGTTACCCTCTGGGAGGCTACAAAGCTGCAGGACTGGATCGGCGACCACGCGACAATGATCATCCTGATCGTGATGATGACAACGTTCGTGGCAGGAGCACTGCTCGGGTGTTTGATTTGCAAGTGGTGGGCGAAGATGGACAGCACCACGAAGCAAAACCTGGTAAAGCATACGAATGCCCCGAATCGGAGAAAGGAGCTGAGCAACAAGGTGAAGTTCACGGACAGGCCGATGACGGAGGAGAAGGCGAGTCAATCGCCATGCGCGTACAAGTGGAAGCACACGACGCCGAGGTTCATTGTGCTGCCCGGGGCGAGCCACGGGTGAGAACGAGCTTGCGGCCAATGGCAAGGTGAGCGAGGTGACGTGCCTCGACGAGGCGCCGTGGGGGCGTGCAGGCGTCAGTGAGTGTACGGCCCCTCCCGAGGCGGCCAGATAGTAGGCCAGGGCCCAAGGAGGCCCTGGCGTGAGCGTTAGGCCCATAGAGGCTCTAGTGCATGATTTGGGCCCTAAGTGGTCCCCTGAGCAAGGCCCGTGCAGGCCTGGACTGAGTGGAGCGGGGTGTCCCCGCCGAGGCTGTTATGGCTCGAAGATGATCTATCGAGTGAGATCGTCATCTCTGCAATGTATGTATGTATGTATGTCTGTATGTATGTAGGTATGTAGGTATGTATGCGTGTATGTACGCATGCATGTATGTATGTCTGTATGCGTGTATGTACGCATGCATGTATGTATGTATGTATGTATGTGTGTATGTATGTATGTATGTATGTAGGTATGTATGTATGTATGTATGTATGTATGTATGCGTGTATGTACGCATGCATGTATGTATGTATGGATGTATGTGTGTATGTATGCGTGTATGTATGTATGTATGTATGTAGGTAGGTCGGTCGGTAGGTATGTATGTATGCGTGTATGTACGCATGTATGTATGTATGTATGTATGTATGAATGTGTGTGTACGTATGCATGTATGTATGTATGTATGTATGTAGGTAGGTATGTAGGTATATATGTAGGTATGTATGTATGTATGCGTGTATGTACGCATGCATGTATGTATGTATGTATGTATGCGTGTATGTACGCATGCATGTATGTATGTATGAATGTATGTATGTGTGTATGTATGCATGTATGTATGTACGTATGTATGTATGTCTGTATGTATGTTTGTATGCCTGTCTGCCTGTGTGTGTGTCTGTCTGTATGTATGTATGTTTGTGTATGTATGCATGCATGCATGCATGAATGTATGCATGTATGTATGTATGTATGTATCTATGTATGTATGTATGTATGTATGTATGTATGTATGTATGTTTGTATGTCTGTATATACAAATATGTAAACATGTGGGGCATGTTTATTGGCACCCGACAGCCGAACGTATGTGAGCTGGTCTAGGCCTCCTAGATGGGGTCCGAGTAGATGGGGTCGGGGGATCGCGCCGCATCGCCGATGAATCGACGATGCGGTTCGATGTGGAGCCTGTGTTTCCCAACGCCGACGTCGCCGATGCATCGCCGACGCCGCCGACGCATCGCCGATGCATCGCCGACACACGAGCGATAAATAGGTGATGCGTCGCGATCCTTCGGCCCCATCTACTCGGACCCCGTCTAAGAGGCCTCTAGCTGGTCTTCCTGCCTCGTGAGATCCTGATATCAAAGGCGGAGCGGAGGAAATGGGCGGGGCTGACCTCGACGCCTCGGGCGCTCGCGAAAAGGGCCAGCCGGGGCGATAAGTCGGGCATGCCCCTCCTCTACAGGAGGATCATTTCAGAATGTTGTGTTCTTAGTGCACAGACAGCGTGGGGACCATGATGAGACACATACGCAGGAGGATGAGGAATACGGTCACGAACTGCTGCTTAGCGTGTCGCGCCGCCAGGTCTGGCCCACCGCGCTTTGTCCCAGCTTTTGCCGGCCTTGCGTCCCAGGAAGCAGAGCGACACGCTGTCAAAGAATAGCGTGCCGCAGAGGCCGCCGCCGCGACTCGCTGGGCAAGAGCTCCTGGCCGCGGGTGGCAGTCCAAGCGGCCAGGGCGCCAAGCTGCTGCGAATGCCGCAGCAATTTCGGCCCAGGCACGCCTCGGGCACGAGCGGACACTCCGCCGCGTACCTCACATACGGCCGTCCGCCGCCCTTTTCGTCAACGCGCCCCCGGACGTGCAGGCAGCCGGTTTCAGTCGGCCGCGATGGCGTGTGCAGCGCTGATCCGCGCGGCCTCGGCCCTGTGCCTGCTCGAGAGGGCGGGCGGCATCTCCATCTCCAACGACCACGTCCACAGGTCGCGGGCTTCCTTGCAAACAGGCTACGAATCCGAGCGTTCAGGTAGCGAATTAGCGAGCGAACGAGCAATGATGAGAAGGAGGAGGACCAGTGTAAACCCAAGACTCATTCACGATGTTGTGTTACAATGGGCTTTCCCTCCAAGCTCCCTCCCCATAGGCCCCTACAAGGATTTACTTCCACTGGGGGAAGTGCCCCGTTGGAAGACAACCGTTTGAAAGTCCTGGCCCGTGCCAAAAACCATTCTTTGGACTCCAACACCGCGAATCAACGTTACTGTTGCGCCTTGACGATCTTGAATCGTGCCAGAACACCATTGCTGGGACTTCACAAAACAGCGAATCAACGTGCCTGTTGCGCCCTGACGGTCCTACACCGGACCACAACACCATCTCTGGGACGTGAACCACCCGAATCCTTGAAGCTGTTGTGAATTCTTAAGATGAATGTGCGCAGCGCTGAGGCGAGAGCCACACTTTGAAAAGGAGCCGCTTTCATTCGTAACACCCTAGCAAGCATGCACGCGGCGCTAAGACGAGCACCACATTTTGAAAACGTCTCGCCCTTCATCCGTCAAACTCTTGCGAATGTTTAAAACGAGTATGCGCGACGCTAAGGCAATCTTAACAATATGAAAACGGCCCGCCCTCCATCCGTGAACTTCTTACAAGTTCGAAGCTGCAAGATCATATGCGGTGGGGAAGTCTCAGGCGAACCGCCCGGCCCTGCATACCGCCACGTCTCGGGGCGCGACAGGGAGGAGTTACTTTTATGGACAAGGGATTGAGGAGGAGGAAGCGGAGGAGGAGGAGGAGGAGGAGGAGGCGGAGGAGGAGAAGGAAGAGAGGAGGAGGAGCAGGAGGAGGAGGAGGAGGAGGAAGAGGAGTCGCAGGAGGAGGAAGAGGAAGAGGAGGAGGAGGAGAAGGAGGAGGAGGAAACGGAGTCGGAGTCGCAGGAGGAGGATGAAGAGGAGGAGGAGGAGGAGGAGGAGGAGGAGGAGGAGGAGGGGGGGGGATGATGATGATGATGATGATGATGATGATGATGATGATGATTTGATGATGATGATGATGATGATGATGATGATGACGATGATGATGATGATGATGATGATGATGATGATGATGATGATGATGATGATGATGATGATGATGATGATCCACGCATCCAAGAAGGTCTGGAGCTCCCCGCTCGATACAGCCTCCCGAGGCCATGGCCTTTCCCTCTGGCGCTGCGGACGCAAGGCCTGACCCGTGCCCAAGGCACACTCGCAGACTCGCCTGAAAGCCTTGAGGCCGCCGACCGCCCCAGCCAAAGGCAGGCGGTCAGCAAAGCATCTGAGCCCTCGCGGCGACTCAGCTCGCAGACAGCTCGGCGCGCCACACCAGAGCAACAGTCCCCTAGGCACCAGGCCACAGACGGGGACGACTTGCTCTGAGGTGACATTCGGAGGCGATCCTGACGGTCGGCCACAGCCTACCACCACGGTTCGGCCTCCGCCTGGCGCGGCACAGAGCACAGAGCGGGCTGGAGCGCAGCAAGCTGCGCGTGCTGTCGCGCCCAAGGCGCGCCAGCAGCTACATTAAACGGAGGCGCCGAAGGCGCCTAGCGAAAGACGCTGCCCCAGAGGGGCGGGAGGGAGTGAACCCTGGCGTGTGCCGAGCCCCACGGGGTACAGCCTACGCCACGGGGTCCCTCCCCCCCCAGAGGCAGCAGCTCGGCGCAGGCATTCGTGATCCTTGGACCCGCCTGCGACACGAGCAGACCCCGTGAAGGCACCGAGGCCGCGTCTAAGGCCTGGGGCTCCTCGAGTGGGACCCCGAGGAGGAAGCTGGCCGCTGCGAGGGCCACCCGCGAGGCGGCCGCCGCCTCCAGAAGCTCGCCTGCAGACAAGAAGCCTGTGTCGATGCCATCGCCGATGTAGGGGGCGGATCGGCCGCCGACGTCGCCGAACCCGTCGCCGTTAGTTCCTGCAGGGGCAGTGGTGTCGCCCGCAGCAGCTGGGCCAGCGCCTCGGGGGACTCTGAGCCTCCCCCCCGCTCCGCAGTGCTGCTGGATGATCGCCTGCAGGTCGTCCAACTCGATCTCGATCTCGCCCACGTGGACTCCAGGCGCCGCGGCGCCCTCGGGAACCACATCCACCGTGTCGCCCTCGAGCTCATCGGGAACGGGGGTCGCAGCCGCCCACTTCAGCTCGTCGGCGATGCGCCTCATGTCGGTGGGATCCCTGCCGTCCCACAGCCACGTGAGAGCCCTGAAACCGATCGGGCAGTCGGAGAGCGCAGGCAGGGGAGGCAGGGCCCTGAGGCCCACAGTCCCATCGAGGAGGACATCGGAAGTATCGAACCCGTCGGAGAACTCGCAATCATCACCTCGATCCTCCACCACGAGGGACGAGAGCGAGCCATCGGATGCGTCGTCGTTGTGCTCGCCCGCGGCCGCTGGCGCATCCGAGCTCATCGCGGTGTACGCCTGCAGCTGCTCCCTGAGCGTGGCGAGCTGGTCCCGCAGCGCATGCTCCGCAGCAGCCCAGCCTTCCCGTAGGGAGCGGATGTCCTGGGCCTGCTTCGCGACCAGAGCCCTGTACTGGGTGCGGTGCGGCGCGGGATGGTGCAACTCCCCCCTCAGCATGTCCAGCTGGTAGTCGGAGCCGAAGCCGCGGCCCAGGTCCACGTCGACGTTCGCTTCCCTGTGCTGCCTTGCGCCTTCCAGCTGCTGCAGGAGCGCCGCGTCCCGCAGATTCGATTCCAGCGCCTCCGCAAGCCGACAGGGGCTGCTCTCGAAGGTCCAGGCGACCCCAGTTGAGGCCTGGCACAACCGCAGCCTGTCGGGCAGGGATAGCATGCCAACGATCCGTACCTGGAGCACCTCGGGCAGCGGGGCCAACAGGGCAGCGGCAGGCTTGAGCGCGGGCTGCTGTGCCGTCTCGAGCCGCTGGCGCGAGACCCGCCGCAGGCGATCGAGGTGATCCTCGCCCCCCAGGAGCTCCGTCTGGACGCTGCCGTCCACTGCCACGCCGACGACCTGGTTCGCGAAGCTCACGATGGGGGGGGGCCGCCATCCATCAGTGGCGGCAGCGCCGCCCAGCCCTGGGCAGACCATGGCACCGGGAGCCTGGCAGTGCTCGTCGTGTGCCTCACCGTAGTCGCCGAAGGGCTGCGCGGCCGCCTCCGGGAGCGAGGGCAGCCAGCCCAGGCGGGGGCCTGCGGCGGCCCGCGAAAGGCCCGCTGCGGACGCGCGCACGAATCCGCCCGCAGGGACCAGCAGCGCGTGCCACGCGGCGTTCCGCCGTCGCCGCATTGCGCCTGGGACGCGGAATCCCGCGGCGGCTCGGCGCAAGGCGGGGCGCGCAGCAGCCTCTCGGTCCTGCCAGGAACCTGGGCCGCTGCTGGCCGCCTTGCCGACTGCCGCCGTGGCGGCGAGGAGGCGCCGCGCCCGCGCCCGTCTGCGGGCCGCAGAGGCGCCTACCTCAGCCTCCTCCTTCCTGCGCAGCGCACTGCCACGCCTGGTGGGCCGCCCCGCCATCGCGCCTGCGGGCAGCCCCCCGTCGCCATTGCTCATCTCCCAGTCGCACGCCGCTGACCGCTGCGCGTGGGCGCCTGCGAAAGTTCGGAGAAACAGCTTGAGCCAAAATGGCTACGGATGATGATGATGATGATGATGATGATGATGATGATGATGATGATGATGATGATGAAGGAGGATGATGATGATGAGGAGGAGAGGAAGGAGGAGGAGGAGGGAGAGGAGGAGAGGAGGAGGAGGAGGAGTGAGGAGGAGGAGGGGAGGAGGGGACGGGATGATGATGAGTGATGAGATGTGATGATGAATGATGATGATGATGATGATGATGATAGAGGAGGAGGAGGAGGAGGAGGAGGAGGAGGAGGAGGAGGAGGAGGAGGAGGGTCCGTAGCCATTTTGGCTCAAGCCATTTTGGCTCAAGGCTAAACGTAACGAAGGTTCGGGGAACCGAGGTGTTGCGATTAGCTTTGGACCCATCCGTAGCGATCTCTCGAATCGCTTGGGGCTTGCCCGCGGCACACCTCCCAGTGCTTCCGTCTTTCGCCCCACCAGTGCTTTCTTCGAACCATGGGCGATGGCGCCCACACCATCCCGAGTCAGATGCAGATGGTTGCCGACATCGACATCGACCTCGACGACATTCCGACCTTCCCGCCGTCGCAGATGGGTGTTGGTGGATCTTCACAAGTCGCTACTCCTGTCCGTGGTGCTGCCCCTCCTGGTGCTGAGCTGGGCGGCGGCAGCCAAGGTGTGCAGAGCGGCATCAACAAACGTCGCGCCGGCCGTCAACCCGCTGGGGATGCAGACTTCGAGATCGTCCATGCCGCCAACCTCCAAGACTCCATCGAAGCCCTGCGTGCGGAGCTCCTCGAGCAGGTCACGAACACGACGTCCGCTCTCAATTCCAGTCTCCAAGGGTTGGCCACTAGAGTGCAGTCCACATGCTCGGCGATGGCTTCGCAGGTCGAACAACGGCTCAACGGTGTGGAAGTGGTTCAACGAGGCCACACCAAGCAGCTCCAAGTTCTTCATGAAGAAGTCAAGCTCCTCAAACGTGAGCTCAGCGTGGTCAAGGAGACCCCCAGTGAGTTGCCAACGACCTTCCCGAAGCTCTCGCTGGACTCGGCGTTCAACCGTGCCATCGACGTGTCCATCATCGTGGTCCGCTGCAAGGAGCAGACCGCGAGGCAGCAAGTTCATGGAGCCCTTCTACCGTGGCTGGAGCGTCTCAACATCGAGTCGTCCGAATGGGAGCTCCAGGGGGAGCCGTCGGACAAGAGGTTCACGATCAAGTTCAAGGGTAGTTCTCAGTTCGCCTCACGCCGTGTGCAGCATGCCCTCAGCCTTTTGCGCCCGCAGCGTCCTGGAGAGGAGTGGATGCGCTTTTTCGCTCCTGCGATCTCAGGCTCTCGCTCTGAGATCTTTGTCGGATCGGACAAAAACCAGTGCCAGGTCAAGCGTGAGGTGGCGCTC